TAGCCTGAAAAGCTTACTGCGAAATATGCTTCAAAAGATGGAACATCTTAAGTTAAAGTTATGCCTATATGCTCAAAAAAGAATAAAATTTTAGCCTAACACTTACAGGAGGATAGATCGAACATTCTTTATAGATAATTACTGATTGTACACAATGTAAAGGAATAAAGCGCATTAAAATTTATTAATATCCAATTAATTTCAAAAGAAGGGCTGTGCATTTGTTCGTAATAAAGGGGAATGGTTTACCTTCGAGAGATAACTTGAGCGCCTCAGCCAACATGTCGAGCCGCTTATCCTCCGGCACAGCCAGACTTTGCTCGTTGATCTTATAATTTGAATCCGAAGTCGTTGTAGCATCAATTTGATCTGGGAGGTAGCCAGAACTCGTATCTTTCAGGCTCAATAGGCCAAGAACGAGATGCTCACGAGTACTGATCGAAAGTGGTTTAGTTGTGTCACCCAGCTCTCCCATGGAGGAAGAATTGAAGTCTTTAATTGACGGTGGCATAGAAGTATTAGAATTAGTGATAAGATTTACCAAGACAAGCATAGTCTAAAAAAGAAAACTGAATCTCATTTTAATAATTCATTGCTTGCAATGCAAATGTGTATTCTTTATATGAGATGTTTTCACCCTATTTCATTTATGATGCTGAAGGACAGGTAGTTTGATTCTCCCACAATCGTATGAGTATAGCTAACGGTTCTATTACCCTTCACATGGCCTTGCTTTCCACAGGGTATTTTCATCCAGGGTGGACTGCAGTTTCGACCTCGCATAGATCTTAGCAACATCCCCAGCGAGACTCAGGCCATGGCACTGCAGTGTATGATTTCGGCACATTGCCAAGATACCTTTGGGCCACAGGGCAGATATGAATTTCAAGGAAAGCCAGGCCTGTTTCCATATCACATTTTGTGGCAGGATTGTGGATGAAATAAAGTTGTATTTGCCTTATCAATCGACTATGTTACTTAATTTTCGCTTACAAGTATGCTTTTGAGACCACCAGTAGATTATATATAATAGATGCATTTATTATATTACGTTTCGAGTGGTAAGGGTACTAGTAAATGAATTTTCCCACAATGATATGAGTAGAAATGACGTGTTCGGTGAACTTCACATAGCCTTCCTTTCTTAAAAAGTATTTTCATCCAGGCTAGATTACAAGTTATAAGCAACGCAGTCGATTTGTAAAGCAAATA